TCATACAGTGCATGCACTACGGTCGCCTAATTATCCCATATAACGAGAAGTCTAGAGGTGGGAGGTTCCAAGCGGAGGGGTGCTCTGTGCAGCCTCTTCCCCTTTCACACCTGGTCTCAGTATGTCTGCTCCAACCCTCACCCAGTAGATTTGCACGGATGGAAAGGGACAAATAGAAAGCGAATCTTCTCCTAAGGTGCTATTTTATACCATTTCATTGGGAAGAAAATCTTCCTGAACACCCCACCACCACCAGATTTCCCCTGCCATCTGCCTGAAGTGGGTCACATGCCCACCCCTGTGCCACTCGACAGCAGAGAAGGATGGGATTGCAGTGGCACAGGATGGAGCCAGCACGATTCAACCCAAGGTTCTGGGAAGAGACCCTCCTTCCCTGCTCACTGCTCCATGTCACATATCAGAGCAAAAGTGTGGTTCTGTTAGCAAGAAAAAGGCAGGGAGAGGTGGGAGCTGATGGCAGTTGATGAGATTGGCAACCTGTGGGGTCTGCCATAGTGGCCAATGCAGTGAGGATCTGTGGCTCTGCCAAGACGTAATATGCGAACAGGAATATTGTTCCTGTGGCACCTGGCCTTGCATTTCTATGGAATGAGAGATACAGACAGCAAAGACAAAAAGGTGCCACACACACCCCACCCCCCACCCAAGGCAGAGAGAGAGAGACTGGACTCTACCAGAAGACCAGAGCCTGGAGCACATCAAGATGTTTGTCCAGCCCCGGGTGACTCATGTGGTCCCGTGCACCAAAAGGTCACTTGTTCAATTCCCAGTCAGAGCACAAGTCCAGGTTGCCGGCTTGATCCCCAGTAGGAGGTGTGTAGGAGGTAGCTGACTGATGTTTCACGCTCACGTCCATGTTTCTCTCTCTCTCTTCTCCCTTCATCTCTCTCTAAAAATCCATTTTAAAAATTTTCAATAAAAAAGAAACAACATGAACAGTTCTGGTGATCATCAAAAAGAGCAAATTTTTTTTAAAGATGTTTGTCCAAATGACAAGCTGCCAGGCTACAGAGGATTCGAATCACTGGACCCTCACACAGCGGATTTGTGTGCCCTTAATGTTTTGCTGATTTAATGGAAAGGCCATGGATTTGTTTCTTTGCTTTGTCCTTTCTCTCATGGTCAATTGCTATATTAAATCATTTTTGTAATGAGCCCTGGTTCAGTGTGTCTTTAGCAACTGGGATGAAGGAAGAAAAGATGTCTCGACCTGGAAGAGCTCCCACTGGATGCTGGGGACCAGCTTCCACGCTGGGGAGTCCCCTTTGTATGTTTTCTTGCTTGGTCAATAAGCACTTCATATGAAAGTGCAGGAGAGAGTTTTCCGTCAGAAGTGCCAGATTTGATGGGTAGCAATATTTGAATACAAAAGCCCCCCAAGCATAAGCAGGAACCAAACAAAGGGAAGGTCTTGCATTTGCTCCTGAGAGCTGTTCCAAAGGCAGGTTCCAGGAAGGGTTTGTGGAATGAGTGCCAATCCAACACTGTGTCTGGGACGGAGGCCAGGAGCTGCTGGGAGGCCTGGGGAAAGAGAGAGAAGCCGCATTTGAGTTATAGAGTCATTTGCAGACTCGTCTGAGCTCTAGACCAGCCAAATGTCACCTTCTCAGAGGCCACTTCTTGCATTTCTGGTTGTCCTAACACCATAATAAAATGATGTTTATTAAACATCTAACTGCCTATATGTCAGCCATATGTTTTCAGTGTGATGGTTTGATTTAAACATTGTGTGGGACCTTATCTCTCTAATCCATCGTTTAGCCCAAATCCCTCCTATCCTCATATTGAAGAAGATAATTGGGCCTCTGGCCTTTATACATTTATAATCAAGTCAGGCACATAGGCATTACATGTAACATAAAACTATGTGGTGATTCCAAGGTGAAAGGCAATAAAGTATGCAATCTGTGTGGGGTGGGAGTTCATAGAGGCAGAGTTACTCAGATGAAGACCACTGGAAATGGGAGTCTCGATTAGGGCGCTGAGGGAGGGGAGAATTGGGATTGATAGAGAAGAGGGAAGAAGACAGGCAGTCCGAACAGCATGAGTATAAGCTTGGAGGCAGTGATGTGTCCCCCGGGCAGCCCACAGGTGCTGACAGGGGAGGAGATGAGGTCAGGCCTGGGAAAGGAGAAGTATAGTCGAGTCAGAAGTGAAATGACTCTGTTGACAACAGATAGGAAAGGTGTGATCAGTTGGCAGAAGAACATCAGAATGAGGTGTTTCCATTACTGTGATGAGAAGTAAAGAACCACCAAGTTCCTTAAGAGGATGGATGAACCCTGGCCGGTGGGGTTCAGTTGGTTGGGTGTTGTCCCTCACACCAAGAGGTTACTAGTTCGATTCCCTGTCCAGGCACGTGCCCGGGTTCTGGGCCCAATCCCTGGTAGGGGGCATGCAGGGGGCAGCTGATCAATGTTTTGCTCTCCCATCAATAGTTCTCTCTCTTCCTCTTCTTTCCCTCTCTAAAAATCAATTTTAAAACCTTAAGAGAAAGAAAGAAAGGAAGGAAGGAAGGAAGGAAGGAAGGAAGGAAGGAAGGAAGGAAGGAAGGAAGGAAGGAAAGAGAGAGAGAGAAAGAAAGAAAGAGGGAGGGAGGGACAAAGGAAGGAAGGAAGGCAGGAAGGAAGAGGGACAAAGGAAGGAAGGAAGGAAGGAAGGAAGGAAGGAAGGAAGGAAGGGAGGGAGGGGGGAACATGAATGATTCAATAAGCAGGTGGTGCTAAAAAAAAAATCCTGGTTGCTGAATGTTGTTGGTTTGGGGTTTTTCAACCTAAAATGTTGGCTCAGTCCCAGATATAGAGAAGGTAGCCCTCTGTGCCATAGAAAATTAAATGTTCCTATTGAGTCATAATGTGATGTTCTGCAGAAAATCTAGAGCTCAAACTAAAGCACTATAGAAATATTTTTGGCTCCAGTACTATTTGCTTCCTTATTTTGAGTAAAATTGTACCCCTGTGTGTTTTTATGCAAATGTTATTTTTCTCTGTATGGTTTATATTAGCTTAGTAACCTGTAATCAAAATTAAAATGTGTTTTTCCCCTCACAGTTTTGCTCATTCGGGAGTCGCCTCATGGGACGAGGGTTCTATGTGTTTGATAGAAGATGGGATCGTTTTCGATTCGCTCTAAACTCCATGGTAGAAAAACACTTGAATTCGCAGATGTGGAAGTAAGTGAGCAGTTTTTGTGCAATGTGAGATCAGAGCTGCCCCACAACTATCTGAACCCCAACTTTCTAAATGAGTGTCAGTAATTGGCTCTTCACAGAACAAAATGATTCTGAAATCAGGATTCATGATAAATTCTTAACGGTCAGCTCTTGAGGGCCTGCCGACAGCGTTCCAGAGACACGTATGATGTGTGTTATGCTTTGTCTTCTTTGCGTTGGTAATCTTCTAAATGAAAAGGGTATTAGATACGAGCTTATTTAACAGTTGCAAAAGGCCTTTTTTGCTGTGAGTGAGAACATGTAAGGATGTTAAGAATATGTTTCTGTTTGTAATATTAAGGCTATAATGTCAATACTAAAAATGTCAGAATGGTTATGGACCAATCTCTAATTGCTTAATGTCCTATGGAAAAAAAACATGTCCATCGGCCAGCAGGGCAGATCCTGAGTGATGTTGTGAAGGTGGTTAAGCTTGTCTTTGGCCCTTCCCGCCTCCCTAGACCCCGCTCCTCTCCTCTGCTCACACTGCTCGCTAACCTAAGCCCAAACTGACGTTCCGTGTCTCTCATGTCCCTTTATTCTCCAACACCCCCCGATGTATTTACGTTTTCATAGGAGTTTCATAAAAAAGGAAGAAATCCTCTTGACTTAGGAAAATGCTATTGTGAAGCAATGACAGGCTAGAGACCCTCTCAAACCACAGCACATACGAAACTGCCCTTCTGGCCACTTGATAACACAAGACCAGCCTGCTGCCTATCCCCACCCCCACTCCCGCACAGGTGAGCTCTTAAGATACCACAATCCGCCAAAACCGGTTTGGCTCAGTGGATAGAGCGTCGGCCTGCGGACTGAAGGGTCCCGGGTTCGATTCCGGTCAAGGGCATGTACCTGGGTTGCGGGCACATTCCCAGTGGGAGATGTGCAGGAGGCAGCTGATCGATGTTTCTGACTCTCTGTCTCCCTTCCTCTCTGTAAAAAATCAATAAAATATATTAAAAAAAAAAAAAGATACCACAATCCGTTAGAAGCGTAGCTCCCTCAGATCTAAGCCCAGATGGTTCAGGAACGCCAACTCTGAACCCCTCGCCCTGCCCAGCGGAAGCCAGTAAAGGCCAAGAAGGCATCCCTGAGAACTAAGAGGGCACTGGCAGCGGGGATGGGAACCGAATTCAAAACCTGCCCCTCTCCCAGGCAGCTGTGATGCCCAAAGAGCTTCCAGACCTGAACTTCTAGGAGGAGTGAGCTCTCACAGTGGATTTAGGACTAAATGTTGACACTTCCTGTACAATAGGAAAGGGCCATAGAGAAGCTTATCATTTCTTCCCATTTGAGTGACTGCCCAGTGTGTCTTAAAGGCACCCTGGACACCTGGTGTGTTCCTCCTAAACACCGGTCGGTGCTGCATGCGGGGTTATGAGCCCGGGGGTAGTGGTTCATTTGTCCTTCTGCGGCTGCTCCCCCACGGTGATGACAGCCGGCCTTGGGATTCTCGCAGCTCTTTGCTCGGCTGTGTGGTGGAAGTGTAAAACCCAGGCACGTGGAAGGAATGTGTTGATCTGTATTTCGCTACCTGGTGTCCTGTCAGCTCAAGCTCCATATTCCTTTCCTCCTCAGGCACAGAAACCCGAGCCACAGGGCGTCAGGTCCCTCCCCCCTTTTCAGGACTTGCCTAACCAACCTCCTGTCACTGAGCAACATTGGGGCTGCCTGGGTGTCAACTCTGGAGAGCGTAGCACCCCGCTGCCCCCTCAACCTCGCTGCCCAAACCCCAGGCCCAGACGGGCCCGAACCTGGAGGGAAGGCAGCCGATGAGGGCGTGGAAGACATTAGGAAGAAAAGGAACGGCCAAGACTCTTTTTTCTTTAACAAGCATTTAACTCTGCATCAGGAGGCGCCAACACAGTGTTCTCTTTCAGCCAGGTCAGCATCTGGAGCTCCACGCCAGCTGGCAGGGGAGGACGGGCTCTGTAACTTATTCGCATCTGTGGGCTTTTGACGGGACTTCCCTAGGCCAGTGTGCGGGACCTAAACCAGGCCCAGCCTGCAAAGCTGAAACCCACTGCCCTTCGGCCCCTAGACAGACACAGAAACTGCTTAGCATAGGGATAGGGGGTCCCGGGGACAGTGAGCTGCCTCATGGCCCTTGCCCTTGCACCCCCTGCCCTCCTCCCCTCCTGCCTCTGCTATCCACTTAAGATTCATGGGACAGAAGGAAAGGGAGAGGAAGTAGGCCAAAACACAGCCCCCATCCCAGTCCTGAGTGTCAGCGAGGCAAGGTTAAGGACTTGCGCTCAGCTTGTCCGCACAAGCGGAAGCATGAATTTATGCAATTGATGGGAACATGACAGATGGGGACCTTCAGAGTGGATGCTAGTGCAGGTCATTGACTGGGGTCCTCTCTCAATGAGCCAGCTGGTTCTTGTAAACAACGTTTTATTACAAGTAACTGCCGAGCCTCTACATGTCCTTCTATCCAGACTTTAACTGGTAAGAAACTTGAGGCGAGGGAAGATGGAGCGGGAGGCCTGCAGTCCACAGAGAGGCAGCCGAGCCGAAGGGCAAGTGTGCTGACACCGCACACGTGAGAGATGCTCTGGCCCTGTGGGGAGGGCGTTGTGCAGTGCCCGACAGTCTGAGGGCGTGTGTAGACCTTCCCAGTCTGATTATATGGGAGTCCTTGCCCAGCATGCATAGTGCCGTTGCTACTGAGAATCCCCTGCTCACCCGTCCACCCGCCCATCCATCCATCCATCCATTCGTTCACTCATTCGTTCATTGCAATAAGTCTTAATGGAGCACTTATTTAGTGCTGACAGGATCTTCTACCCTCTTTAGGCTTGAGAGAAAGTAGATTTTCAAACACCAGTATGGCCACACAAAAATGGCAACTTTTTTCTCTTTATCTCTGATCTCCTCAGTCTGATGTTTTCAAGGTCTCTGTTCATCTATATTCAAGAATTCATCCTCTGGATTCCACCCTAAAAACCGAAGCCATGGCTTCACCTCACTGCAGGCAGAAACGGAATCCTGAGAGCGCAGCGCTAGGAGAGGCATATCCTACTCCGCGGGGCCTCTTTCCAGAGCCCCCTGATGCCAGAGCTGGGAGGGTGGCCACCTGGGGAGAAGGGACTGGAGAAGCCCCATCTCACACCTGGCTCCAAGCTCCTGGGGTGCAGGGCCCAGGCCTGCCCGCCTTTAAGTGCTGCTTTTGAAGAAGGAGAGTGAATTCCTAACTGCTGGGGATTGATCCCCAGGGGACACAGGGCGGGGGCAAGGTGGGAAATAGAAAGGAGCCAGTTTGGCAATATTCACCTGGCTCCTGAGTCAGTATTCTTTCCTGCAAATCGGGAACAACTGGTGCCCGCAAGGCCCCTGGGCTCCTCCCGGTCCCCAGGCCACGATTTGGAAGTGGGACCTGTTTCCAGCACAAGTTCCAAGGATGGGGTTTCCCGGGAGGCCCCAGGAGTGGCCACCACCAGGCCGGCCTTAGCTCCCCGAGTACGAGAGGCCTGGGGGTTGCTCCCAGGCACTCCCAACCTCCGGGAAGACCTTCCCCTCCCACATGTTCTCCTGGGCCCCGGCCCTGCATTTGTTCAGAGCAAACTAGAAATTCCTGACGACCTTCTCTGGACACATGAGGGTCCCTGTACACTCAACCTTTCCTAACACCGGGACAAGAGGTCCTGTCGAAGGGCAGCCACCCCAATTACAGCTCCTCTGAGTGAGAGCTGAGACTAGGGGGGAAAGGGGGTGGGCAGGGAAAAAATCAGTCCTGGAGCTGGGCTGGTTGACATCTGCCTCATTTCCCAAGCCCCGACCCTCCACTGCCCTGCGGCCCCCATGGCCCGGCCAACAGGAGCCAGGTGCCACACGCTAACGTGGAAGGGCCTCTCTATGGAATAAACCAGAGGCTGCAGAGAGGACATGCAGGAGGAGGTGGGCCTGTGGAAGAGAGGGCTGTTTCCCACTCTGCCTGTGGAACCAGGAGCAGGGTGGGGAGGCAGGGGACAGGCAGTGGGCAAAGGCTGCTCTGGCCCATGTGTGCAGGTGACAAAGCCTTGTCCTCACTATTCTTACCACAAGGACCTAAGTGTGAAGTGGCCACTTCTCCTTAAAAACCACCTTCACCGTTACCGAACTAAAAAGAGAGGGAGAGAAGAATACCGCGGGGGAAATGTGTATTCTAAATCACATTCACCTTTTATCTGTGCACCCCAATCAGCCGGTATCCAGTAGCCAAGCACAGGAAAAAGGACCAAAAACCCAAAAGTGACCGTCAGTAGGGTGCGGGATATTGCAGTGGGGGAGCCGCAGGGAGGGGCCATCCTTCAGATGTCGCCATCCTTCAAGGCTTCATTTTCCATAGTCTGGTTCTCCTGGGGTTTCTCCGGAGCCCCGACATTCACACGTGGTCGAGCCTCCACACTCTTCTCTCACGTTTAGGAAGATCCCTCCTGCGGCAGATAGCCCCATGCCCTCGCCAGCAGCCCACATCACCACCCCCGTTCCGGCATCCGTGTTACAGCCCTTCAGCCACCCCAGTGCTGTGTATCTTCCTTCAGCTCCCATCAGCTCGAGACTCACCTCTTCTTACATCATGACATCAGCCATGCTCCCCAACGCAGCTTTCGTGACCTCGCCGGACCCAAGCGCCCTCATGCCGCACCCCACAGCTTTCCCTCATGTGGCCGCAACCCTCAGCATCATGGACTCAACCTTCAAGGCCCCTTCCGCCGTGTCCCCGATACCAGCCGTCATCCCTTCCCCATCCCACAAGCCATCCAAAACCAAAACCAGCAGATCCTCAAAAGTCAAAGACCTGTCTGTGCGGAACGACGAGCCTCCGAGTAACAAAAAGAGGAAGCCGCCGTCGTCGACCTCCGCCTCGTTCTCCTTGCAGACACCCCTCCCGTCCCCCCTGTCAGGGCCCCACAAAAAGAACTGTGTTCTGAACGCCAGTTCCGCTTTGAACTCCTACCCGGCGGCTCCGCCCTATAACAGTCTGTCCGTGCACACCTCCAACAACGGGGTGAGCCCACTCAGTGCCAAACTGGAGCCCTCAGGACGGACCTCGCTGCCCGGAGGGCCCCCGGACATAGGGAGACACCTGGGCTCCGTGGGCGGCAGCGACGCCTGTCCCCTGGCGGTGCCCTCCCTCGCGGGCGACCTCTCTCTGGCCTCACACAATGCCGTGTCTGCTCTGCCCCTCTCTTTTGACAAATCAGAAGGAAAAAAGCGTAAGAACTCGAGTTCTAGTAGCAAAGCCTGTAAAATCACTAAAATGCCTGGTATGAATAGCGTTCACAAAAAGAACCCGCCCAGCCTTCTCACACCGATGCCCGACCCCGTTAACAGCACCTCCTCTCGGCAGGTAAGGGACCCGTCCTGCCAGGGGCCTCCTGGCACTGCCTCCTCAGCCCCAGGGGCAGCGGGAGCCGGGCAGCGCCCCTGCTTAGCCAGGTGACTGTCTTGTTTTCCCCAGAGGCCACTGCCCCTCTCTGCTGGGAGAGCGGTTACTTAACCAATACTTTCTACCCTAAGCCCCGTGCAAACATGTCCTCCTTTAGTCCTCACAGCTACCCAGTGCGGTTGGTACTGTTGTCATCACCACCTTACAGAGGAGGAGACTGAGGCACAGAGACACCCTGAGTTCCCCCACTCGGCTTCCATTTTCTATCTGGAGCTTCTGAGGGTGATTTTGTTAAAGGAGCTTTATCTGATCTGTTGGAGTCCCCTTAGGAAGAGCTGTGGCCAGGCAGGTTAAATGGTGACCAGGGTCTCACCTGGAGGTGATGGCTCGTGCTTCCAGCCCCCAGGTGACTGTTCCCACTTTACCTGGCTGCCTCGATGCCCCGGCCCCCCACCCCCTTACTGATACAACTGTTTTTTCCCAAAAGTGAAACTAACTCACAGCAACTGGCACAGAACTGTGCGATGCCACAGTACAGATAGGGGGGCGTGTTGTGAGGGGAGCTGTGGGAACGTGGCGTGGTCCAGGGAGAGTCAGTGTGTCACTCCCTTGTGTTCTGTTCACACCCTCGAGTCGAGTCTGTCTCCCAGGCTGGGGAAGCGACGACTTCGGAGAGTCCCCACCCGCGCCAGATGGTGCCACTGGGCTCAGCGGAGAGAGCGAGTGCCAGGGGGGCCGCTCGCAGGCCTGCCCCAGGCCTTGCACCCGCCAGGGCAGCACACAGACTGCGGCGCAGCCCCAGGTTCACAGCCGCAGAATGGAGTGGGCCGGACCCTGAGCCCAGCCCCATCTGGGGACAAGGACTCAGGAGAGACGAGAAGCAGTTGTTAAAAAGATGTTTTATTGCTTTGTGTCGTCTTTATATGAGATTTGTTAAAACCTCACGAAGAGAGCATCCTGAGGGGGATTCACAAATCACAAGTAAACACTGGAGAAGCAGCAAGTTTGGGTCCCAAGCGCCAGACAAGCTGCCACCGAGGCCAAGGAGAGAGAGGGGAGGACATAGGTCGCCTCACTGGAGCCCGGCCCCTCGCACACGAGTGCAGCTGCCGCAGATGTGCTTGCTGCCTTCTGGCTCCTCAGTGCCAGGGCTGCAGGGGGAGGGGGCCAGCAGCCGCAGGGCCCTAAGCTGAGGCTCACCCGTGGGTCAGTGCCACCTCCAGGTGCGGATGGAGGGCACAGCCAGGACTTCCGAAGATTAAATGTGCACGGGAATTCCCTGGGGGTTGCAGGTTCTGAGTCAGCAGGTGGGTTGGGGGGCAGGGGCGGAGGGGGCGCTAAGAGTCTACATTTCTAACAGGCCACTGGTTTGCAGGCCACACCCTGAGTGGCCAGGCTATACTATCACCCATTTTAGATAAAATCCTAGCAGCTAACACTTAGGACAGTGGTTCTCAACCTTCTGGCCCTTTAATACAGTTCCTCATGCTGTGACCCAACCATAAAATTATTTTCGTTGCTACTTCATAACTGTCATGTTGCTACTGTTATGGGTCATCATGTAAATATCTGATATGCAGGATGGTCTTAGGCGACCCCTGTGAAAGGATCGTTCAACCACCAAAGGGGTCGCGACCCACAGGTTGAGAACCACTGACTTAGGAGCTGGGCTCTGCTCCAAGTACTTCAGATATATTTAACACGCAGCCATTACCTTTATTACTGCCCTTTTATAGATGAGTAAACCAAGGCACGGGAAGGTTCAGCAATGTGCCCGAAGTCACACAGCAAGTAAATAGTCGGGCTGGGATTTAAACCAGGCAGTGCAGCTCTGGAGTCTGGGCTCTTAACCCCCAGGCCCCTAATGTGTTAGTGGAGTGCCTCTGTGTTTTTTTGTTTGTTTGTTTTTTGTTTTATTTAAGTTTTTCTTTTTTTTATATTTTATTGATTTTTTACAGAGAGGAAGGGAGAGAGATAGAGAGCTAGAAACATCGATGAGAGAGGAACATCGATCAGCTGCCTCCTGCACATCTCCCACTGGGGATGTGCCCGCAACCCAGGTACATGCCCTTGACCGGAATCGAACCTGAGACCTTTCAGTCCGCAGGCCGACGCTCTATCCACTGAGCCAAACCGGTTTCGGCCTCTGTGTTGAGTAAATATCGCTTTGTTGACTGTTTGGTCTGCCGGACCATAGGACATGTTCAGTAAACACTGTGAACCAGTCACCACCAGGGTGAGAGGAGCAGACAAGCCTCCCCGAGCGAGGGTCCATCAGGAAGGAAATCCAAAAAGCTGATGAAATCCAAAACGGCTGCCTTGGGTCTAGGTCAGCCGTGGGCAAACTACGGCCCGCGGGCATCCGGCCCGTTCGGCTGTTCTATCCGGCCCGCGGAGCCGAAAGAGCGGAGGGTTCTCTTGCTCTCTCCCTTCCGCTCCTTCACCAGCAGCAGTGTTAACATGTATTAGTTCACACAAACACTCCATCCATGCTTTTGTTCCGGCCCTCCGGTCCAGTTTAAGAACCCATTGTGGCCCTCGAGTCAAAAAGTTTGCCCACCCCTGGTCTAGGTGGTGCCTAGGGGCTTGTCACCAGGCCATTAAGAAAAGGCTTTGTCCAGGGTGACCATCGGTGATTTCCGCATGTTGGGGAAAAGCCTTTGGAATCTGTGTTGATTCTCTGAGGAGATTGGAAGGGGCGTGGTGTGAGATTGAGAAATTCAAGGTAAACATGTGCAATTGAGGTTCTGTTTCATTGTTTCTGATAAGTGTAAGGCCAGAATTTACCGCAGAAGTATTAAATTAAACAAAAAGACTGCAGGTGTAAGGCAGATGTCTTTATGCAAAGCTGAATTAATGTAGAAGGTCAGCTCTTTTCTTACATATATATTTTTTTAATTTATTTCAGAAAGGAAGGGAGAGGGAGAAAGAGATAGAAACATCAATGATGAGAATCAGCTGCCTCCTGCATGCCCCTCGCTGGGGATTGAGCCCACAACCCAGGCATGTGCCCTGACTGGGAATTGAACCATGACCTCCAGTTCATAGGTTGATGCTCAACCACTGAGCCACACCGGCCGTGTGAAGGCCGGCTCTTTATAGGCCAAAGGCGGGAGCTGCCTCTGGAACGGTACTCGCCTGAGGACCAGTCCATATGTGCCAAGGACAGTCACATGCTCCCAGGGCACTGTCCAAGGACCAGCTCAGCCTCCCATGGAAGAGGAAGCCCAGTGCCATCTTGCCATTTTTCTCAGGAACAGTCAGGTGTGCACTGCGTCTCCTGCCTGAGAAAACTGAGAAAAAGACGCAAGCTTTTATCCCCCGCTGGTCCTTGGGAGGCTGAGCTAGAAATAAGTGGGCCTAGAACTGAGTTCAGAGGTGGAGGAGTTTGTGTAACCCTTTGGCCACAGAAAAGCTGGCCTCTGTGGAGTTAAATGCTCC